GTTATTATATAAGCAAGCTTTTCTTCGTCTCCAACAAAATTTCTTGTTTCTTAACATAAACCCAACTAAAAGTGAACTAGGTAAAATAAGTAAAACGATACTAGAAAGAATTAATTCTGAACTAAGAACTTAGGAGTTAACCAGTGAAAAACACAAAAGCAACTATTGACTGGTTCCGCAGCATAAAAAATAAACATAATTGCCAGTTTATACAATTAGACATAAAAGAATTTTACCCATCCATAACAGAAGCCATGCTAGATATGGCCATCACGTTAGCCCAGGAACAAATAAAAATAAACACAAACGAAATCGATATCATTAAACACTCTCGTAAATCACTACTATTCCACAATGAAGACGCAAAATAATATATAAAAATGATACAGAACTCTACTCGTTTATTTAGTAATTTTCTTTGGTCTGGGAAAGTAATAATAGCTATTTTTTCCTCCAGGCAAAATTTGCCGGTTTTGGATTGATTGTTGTAGGCTGATGATCTTTTCCTTATTTTCCATGAAATTTTTGGTGTTATTCGCGTTTTGTTTTCTGGTTAATCGATTTTGGTATCAGTTTGATTATTGAAGGCGGGTGATTGGAAGATGTGTGTATGTACAGTGGGTTTTCTGTATGGTTTATATGTGCCTTTTCTTAGGTTGAAGGCAACATCTAGAAAATCTCCTTCGTTTAGGTTAGTTTTTGTCAAATCCGTTATTTTTGAAAAAGTATTCGTACAAATCAATTATTAGAATAAAATAATCAATTAATTATGAAAAAAGTATACTCTACAATGTTCCAGTAATGTTATCAGTAATTATAGTTAACGCTATTAGCCATTATCAGAGCATTCTGCAATTTCTCGTCTTACGAGAAGGTTCTAATAATGCCTAAAGGTAAAGAATTGACTATTTCACAAAAACAACACATTTTGTCTCTTTGGAAAGATGGGAACAGTTACAGAACGATTTCTAACAACTTGAATATTCCTTTTACTACAATTGCTTCGTTCATTGGAAGGTTTAAAACTCGTAACAGCGTCGAAAACCAAAGACGAACAAGTGCTCCGAGGAAGATTTCTCTAAGATCAGCAAGGATATTAGGACTCCAGATCCAACAAAATCCACAGGTTACCCGAGAAGAGCTGCAGGAATATCTGCGTGCATTAGGGATTAAAGTAATCAAGCGTACAATAAGTAATGAACTACACAAAAACAGTCTGAAATCACGCATCCCAAGGAAGACTCCACTCCTCTTGAAACGACACAGAGAAGCTAGGCTAAAATTCGTTAGAGAGCATAAGGATAAAAAATATTCATTTAGGGAAAAAGTACTATGGACGGATGAAACTAAAATAGAGTTGTTTGGTCATAATTATCGAAATCATGTGTGGAGGAAGGACGGTGAAGACTAATTACCAAAGAACACGTTGCCAAATGTAAAGTTTGGTGGTGGCAGTATCATGATCTGGGACAGTTTTTCTGCAAAAGGTGTTGGAAGAATATCAGTAATAAATGGCAAGATGAATGCCGAAAGCTACCAGAAAATCCTGCAAGACAATTTAATGCGTTCTGTTGAGAGACTTCGGCTACCTCCTGATTGGGTTTTCCAACTGAATAATGATCCTAAGCATACCGCTAGATCTACAAGGAAATGGTTAGCTGAACGTAACGTTGATGTTTTGCAATGGTCAAGTCAGTCCCCAGACTTGAATCCAATCGAGAATTTATGGGGATATTTGAAAATTCAAATTGGGAAAAGTGCACCAACAAATATCAAGAATTTGAAGACAATATGCCAAGAAGAATGGGACAAAATACCACTCAATATGCGCAAATCGTTAGTTGAGACGTACAGGAATAGACTGGTAGCTGTTGAGCTCAATAAAGGATATTCCACAAAGTATTAAATTAAGTAATTATGCTTTTTTTGTTTTGTACGAATACTTTTTTCATCAGTTGAAATGAAAAAAATGCATTAATTTCTGTTAGAATAAGAATTAATTAAGTTTATTACTATTTTTTTAATAAAATGTATCTTTACACATAAAATGTATAAAAAATTTGTTTTAGTTAAAGCATTTACATTTATAAAAATACAATTTTTCAAGTGTACGAATATTTATTTCCCCACTGAATATATATATATATATATATATATATATATATATATATATATATATATATATATATATATATATATATGCGTATGTGAAATATATATTTTATATAACAAGAACAATATTGGTGGGAAATTTTTCCACTTTGTCAGACATCTCTCTCTCTCTCTCTCTCTCTCTATATATATATATATATATATATATATATATATATATATATATATATATATATATATATATATATATATATATATATATATATATATATATATATATATATATATATATATATATAGCTAGCTTCCTCTGTAGCTAAATAGTATAGCACGTCAGGCTATATGACGGCTCCGTGTATGATACAGGTTCGATTCTTGTCGGAGACACATTTTCTATGAAATTTCTCGGATATTCAGGCCAGTAAATGTTGCTAATACTGTTTATTAAGAACAGAACATTTATTTAAATATTTGCATCTATAAAATAACGTATAAACAGAAAATATATTAAATAATTGTTGCACTTAGTCCATTTCATAATATACATATATATATATATATATATATATATATATATATAAACAACCTTAAGTATTTTGAGTCATATGAATGTGTCGTTGTTCTATGTGTATTTGTCTAATTTGATTGACCAAAGTAAACTTTTCTGACCCACATTGCAATGTTTATCCTTCTTATTATCAAAGCGAGCGAAGATCCTCATGTTTTCCGCTTACTACTCACTTCGTACATTTTCTAACCCGAGTGTTCACCGAGCGTTGCAGTATTGTCTTCTAAATACGTTTATATAAGCCATAAACAAGCCGCTCTTCAAAGAAAACCGAAAAGTACCCAGTCCTAAACACGCAAGCATATTAAGTCTGATGAAATCACATCAACTACTTGAACCTGTAATAATGCTAGTCTCTCACCGTTTATTTAAAAGACGGCCTTTCAACGCAACGATAACGCATCAATAGTAGGTTGTAGATCAAGTTCTTATAAACACTTGTTATCTGCGTTGTAGTTTAAATAGTTACATGATTCCCACGAGTGCCAGCGATCGGGATTCATTAAAAGCCAAGCTGTTTCTCTAAACTTGAACAATTGGATTAATCCATTTTCTCACCGTTTAACTACGTGTAAAGTTTAATAAATACACTAAAATCTCAGTGATTCTATTTCTTACTGCTTTTGTTTAGTGTACGATTTCAGTGAATACACAAAAACAATGATTGCGTTTTCTCCCATGATTTATTTTACCAGGGAACACGTGACACCGAAATCCGAACATGCCTTGGACTAGCGAAAGTTGCTAAACCCAAGTCTGGTGATTGACTGATGCTATTCAAAATGTATATAGTGATTTTCCAAGCATAGCCCAGATGTGGCACAAGGCCGAAAGTATGGGGCACCCAGTGAGGATCGAACTCACTACTCAGTCGTAATTGTTCCAGCGAGACAAGCTTGCCAACCATTACACCACCCCGAGGTGCCCAATTTTTCTTTCTAAGCCCGGCTTAGATGTGGCACAAGGCCGAAAGTATGGGGTACCCAGTGAGGATCGAACTCACTACTCAGTCGTAATTGATCTAGGAAGACAAGCTTTCTAACCATTATACCACGTCGAGGTGCCCGAGTCAAAAAATGTATATAACAAGGAATAATTGCACCAAACTGGAACTACGTACACGTTTGAAACGCGCTGCCATAGGCAATCATGGCTGTATATCGTTTCTTTTCGATCTCCGTTTTACTGCTGGACCTTCTGTTCTATTCTAATTGTTTCTTTTCTTGTCTGTGTAACTCCCCTACACGCAAGCCGCTAGTGGCCGGCTGGCGGTCTGCCGACAGCAACGCCAACAATCTCCTGGTGGCAGCCACCGGTGGGCCACCAATGAGCCTCTAGCGGTCCGCCAGTGGTAACATTGCCGAGACGACAGCGGACTACCAGGGGTAAACGCTAGTGGCATGCCACCCAGTGGCAGATTGGTGGTTTGCGTGTAGCGATTCCGGTTTCTTGTTTCCAAGCCACCTAGAATCTTCAAAAATTCAAATCGCTAATCGCCATCTTATATCTTCCTGAAACCTGCTCATTACTGCCCTTTCTCCTCCTAAAGTGTTCTCGTTCTCTTTCACTCCTCGTTACTCTAGTGACCCCCTTGCATCTTAGTGACATTATCGCCTTGCTTGAGGTGACATCATTAAAAAAGAAATGAATAGTCGTTAGCTATATATGGAAAACTTCTCGCTTCCTGAGTCATAGTTTAATTTAACTTTTGATAAACAAAAAAATAGGAATGTTCTGATGGTTAGGATTGTCGCATTAATAAGAGTCTACTTATTCACCCACAATGGTAGCCAACTAAAGTAGCTCGCTAATTATTTTGACGCATTAATAAGAAGCTTGTTATGAGGATTCGAGATTTGCCACCATTTTTATCAAGGTTTATCTATTTAAAAATGATAATTGCAAACAGTTATTTTGTAGTAATAATTAATGATAATTAGTGATAAAAAACTTTCAAACGGTGTTAAGTATGGATTCCGTTGTTTAAAATGTTCTTTGATACTATTGATTGATACTATTACATACACTCAGGGGAAACACAAATATTCACAATTCTCGCATTAGGGTTGGTCAGATAATCGCAGTTTAAAACAAAATTAAGATAGCAATCACGCCATCATTATTTGAACATCCCCTTTGACAGTATACGTTTTTGTGGCCTAAATAAATGCTAACACCGGCATGAGTCCAAAGTGTACAAGCTGAAACATCTTAAAGTTGCTTTTAACGGTCAATCTCTTGGAAAACCTGGTTACTTAGTAACAATTAAATGTTGCATAATTTTGCAGAGTGACATTTATTATAAGGACTGAGAAGCAGAATGGTGTCGATGTTAGGAGGTGCAAATTGCCATAAATAAATTTGAATTCTTCATAAGCGCACACATAGCTATCTCATTCTGCTCCTATCTATCTATCTATCTATCTATCTATCTATCTATCTATCTATCTATCTATCTATCTCATTCTGTTCCTATCAATCTATATATCTACATTTCACACTGGGGCGAATCATTTCTCTTATTGGGCGAATCTTTCTCGCGTATTGGGTGAATCTGAATGTGTTGGAACCAATGACAAGACAAGGAATATTGCATGGAAAAGCCAAATGATTGTCTGAATTGGCTTCCGTAGTGAATATACTTTATAAGATCAATTTGCTTGCTAAGAAAAAAAAGATTTTTCCCATCATTACACAATAGCGGTTTGTCCAGGTTCCAACAATTTGTAATAAATATTTTCATTTGAACCTGTTGTATTGTGTTGTTCCAAGACACGTGATCATTAGTCAACTTTTTGCTTGTCTCTTAGTTTACTATACAGATTATATCTCTTCTATTTAACCTATGCAAATAGGTACAATCCTATTTACCAATCTACTACACCTCCTTGAACCGAAGAGGCTTAATACCTTTGGTTGTTCTTGAACTTCTACAATCTCTTTTCTCCTCTCTCTCTCGACGTTTATGTCCTGTTCTTTTAATGGATATCTTGGTCTCATTTCATCTTCTTCTGTGTCTGAGTTACTCCCGCTATCATCGATAGGCTCGTCTTCTATTGCATTATCCTGATCTGAAGAACTCATCATTTCTTCTCTGTCAAGGTCTTCTTCCAACACGACGTTTTCCTCTTCAATTCTGGGTCTTAACTATTCAGAATGTACCATCAGGCTTTTTCCTTACTTTGATATAATGGCCGTGTTTTGCCCCCTTTGCATGATGAAAATAAGCCCTCTCAGGACATGCTACTTTGTCTTTCCCTTGTCCCTAGAAAAAAACAAAAAAAGATTTTAAACCAATAGATTATGCTGTTTGTTTGTCTGTTTTTGTTTAGCGGTTTATCAACCACTATGGATGCCGAAATCTAAATATTTTGTACACAATTTTATTTTATCTAATTATTTTTTGAGATAAGGATTTTTTGAGATGATAATGATAAAAGTCTTCTAATTAACCCATAACTGGAGAAGAGTTGGATTCTTATATTTCCAAAGGGTATTTGCGAGAAAGTGAATATAACGAAATCAAATGGAATTAGAACTCCGATTAACAATTCCGAGACGTTATCTATTACACCACCCGCACATCCAAGCTTACAACAACTGGTATTCCCAATCTGTATTAATCAGGCTCGACGTTGCTTAACTTCGGATTGAGGCCTACACGCGCCGCTTACCCGAAGAGGGGCTGGAAGCCGTTTTGCTCGCCGACCGACGCGAGGTACCCAGGTACACCACGATGTGGAACGGTACCACCCCTTTTAGGGTCCCAGCTATGAGCAAATAGTGAACCCCCAAACAAAATTCAACAGTACATTTTTATAATAAAATGGGCAACAATACATTTTTATGGCAAAATGACAATCAATGCAACGCTAAAATATAAAAGTACATTTTTATAGTAAAATTACCAACAATACATTTTATAATCGACAAAATGTAAATTTAAACATATCTTTACTTTGAAAGTATATAACTATGTGCAAAATATCTGTAGTTGAAAGCATAAAATTACGTACAAAATATTTAGATTTCGGCATTAAATAACCCATAGAGGTTGATATACCGTCAAACAAAATAAACCAATCGATCAACCAACCACACAACCAACATGAAAGAACTTTTATGACATTAATCCATATAATGTCCTACAATTTCTTAAATCAAGCTGCATTCCAAAATTAAATGACCTATAAGGAGTTGATATGCCGTTAAGCAAATCAATCAATCACATATACGATCCATCACTGAAGACGCTGGAGAAAAAACATGGTCGGCTCCAGAAGATTGTGTTTAAACATACAACAGACTATCGTCGCTGGGTGGTGACCTCAATATCCACTTTTTATATTTACATACAGATATCCCTGATATTGAACACTTTAATCAATAAATAAATATTATAACTTAAAACTATATATATATATATATATATATATAAATTTTCGCAATACTGTTCTTGATATATAAAAATATATATCGTTATCTCTCTCTCCCTCTCTCTCTCTCACACACACACACACACACACACACACATATATATATATATATATTTATATAAGTTATAAAAAGTTCTGTCACATCTGACTGGAGTAAAAGACAACAAGGAAAGGATGCGGCAAATGTAATAAACAATATTTATTACGTGCCCCGACCAAAGGATCAAGGGTGATTGTGATGACACTGAGGTCCTGAACGTCTCCTGGATTGGAAATTTGGGCTTAATTATTCAATAGCAAACACTGGAGAAGGTTATAAGAGTATCCCAAAATTTTGTAATTTCTATATATATATATATATATATATATATATATATATATATATATACTAGAAATTACAAAAATATATATATACTAAAATTACAAATATATATATATATATATATATATATAATTTAAATAAAAACAGACCACTTCAAGGTTCCATGTAACTTCCGGTTAAGTTAACGGAAGTTATGTATTGACATCAATATATATTGATATCAATATATAACTTCCGTTAAGTTAACCGTTTAAATGTGTCAATGTCTGAACATCAAGTAATTTTAAGTATAAAGAATAGAAATTTTAAATTACATCTAACTCACTCACGTCTTCTTTCTCTCCCCTCACTTCCTCACTTCGTTAATTTACATATGTTTAATACGGCCCGTCAAAAATGTGTAAATTTCTTTTAATTTTTTGTTTCAACCTTTTGGAAGTAAAGTCTGATGATCCTTTAAAAAGGCTGTGGTGAATTAATTAGTCTGTTTTTATTTAAATTATTTGCTCTGGATTTACATTGAGCTCTCTGGATTTTATCCTCCTTGGGTCTACCCATACGGATTACCTAGTTTTTCATAAACTAACTATATATATATATATATATATATATATATATATATATATATATATATATATAGGAGGAAAAGTTCTACACCTACATAATATACTACACCATTAAAATAATAAACAGAAACTTCAAATTCTAGAGGCCCTCTATCTCAAAATCAACCAACCAACACTCAAGAAAATTTATTACAAATATAGCAACAACATATTAAAATGCATGTAACATTTAATGCCATTTTTTATTTCTACCAATTTCCGGTCAGCTCCCATATATTGAAACGCTTGTTTTTTTAAAAAAATTACATGACCCCAACGGATAAAATAAAATAACTATAACAGAGCGTGTTCGTGCGTGTTTTGAAAAATCACCATCACAAAAGATTGCAGATTTTATCGCAGTTAAAATAAGTTTGTCTTTGTAATTTACTCCTGAAGATGATCTTGAAAAGATCGAAACTACTTGGGTTAGCAAAATGACGACGCCTTACTTGATGAAGTTCATCTCAACACCAAGAAAATGATTAGACAACTGGAAAGGATCAGTATAAAAATAAGTAGACAACCTGTCTATATTATTCAATGAAACATGTTTGCATGAAGATACCCTACCTACCTACCTACCTATATATATATATATATATATATATATATATATATATATATATATATATATATAGTTAGGTAATGAAATGTTTGGTAATCCGTATGGATAATCCCAAGGAGAACGTAATCCAGAGTGCTCAATGTAAAAACAGAGCATGTTTTAGTTTAATTATAAAAAAATACAACTTTAAGGATCCATTGATTATATTTTATTTCCCCAGATCACATTTCCAAGCATATATAAATATATATACAGACACGCACATATATGTGACGCATATATGTGCGTGTTTTATATATATATATATATATATATATATATATATACACACAAACATATATGCATAAATACACACACACATATATATATATATATATGTTTGTGTGTCTGTGTATAATTTGTATGTGAAACACATTTTGTAGAACGCACCAACACTAAATCCTTCTTTTGTTTGACTGGACGCCTAGATATTCTGTTATCTTTTATTTTCAGCACCCCCTCGTATATATGGTGCATATTAAAAACTGGAGCAGTGAATGTAATGGTTCATTTTCTCATTCGGTGAAGAAAAATAACGTTAGTTTAGATGTGGAATTCGGAAAATAACCCAATATTTACGAAAGGTGACATTGACAACTGAAATGTAAACATTGAATTTATCTTATAAAGAGGAGAAAAGAGAGTAAGCGAAAGAGAGACAGTAAGAAGGAAAGGAAGAAAGAAAAAAAACATTATTTAATGTTCATGGGAATCAAATGCGTGAGTGAAATCATTATTTTTTTTTAATCAATTCAGCCGAGGCATGACTATAATGCCACTAAGGCGCAAGGCCTTACTTGGAGTGAAAGCGACTGAAAAGACTTTATATGAAACCAGAGACCCAATTTTAAACAGAAGACAAGGGATAAACCTCTACTCCTGTTCAAAAGACCGGGGAATAATGTGAAACGGACAATAGGCAAACCCATCTACTCCTAGAGAGGAAAAATAAATAAATAGTAACATGAAATTTCAGAGTTTAGGAGGAGATGTTAGAAGTTGAAGTAGACCTAAGAAGGAACCGGAAACACAACCCTAAAAAGGAAACAAGGAATAAACCTTTACTCTTATTCAAAAGCCGGGGGGGGGGAGTATAAACCGAAAAATAGGCGAACATTTCTACTCCTATTACAGTTAACTATTCAAATACATTAATGTGTGCCAAAGATTATGACAAAAAGCAATAAATATTGAGATTTTAACATAATTTCTTTTCTTGTCAATGCACTTAATCCAGTGATGAGTATTAATCACATAGCTTGAAACATTATAAAAGGAAAATTTTAAAGTTCAGTTAATAACTATATGTCTGGCTACAGACTTAGTGATCCACCCTTGTTCAATACCCTGTGAGTTACATGTGAACATTTACATTTTAAATGAAAATTCGTCTTATAATTACATATCAGTTTATGAACTTATTGATTTATCCTCGTATCTTGTGAGTAATGGTAAAAATATTTTAAAATCAGAGATATACCACGGTACGCCAACAAGTTTAAATAATGAAAAGAATATTTATTTTTCAACAATTTTCTTGTCAAAATTCTATGATGAATATTACTCATTATCAATATTTATTCAGTTAGTGCATTTTGCGCCTCTGAGGCCACCACACCCCTCCATTGCACAATTGTGGTTCTTGATGACATTCAAGGCAGAATACCGCAATGGCACTAATAATTACCCCATCCCTCCTCTCAGAAGTTTAAGAGGTTAAGACAACAGGGGCTTTTAATTCAGAGTTCTCTTTCCCTTACACTGGTTGCCAACCAAGGCTATAGGGCCCAATCTGTCCTGCTATTTAGCAATAGCTGTGAAGAGAGAGGGATTTATACTTTTCCAAGGGTATTAGCACGTAGGTGAATGTGATCAACTTGACTGGAATTCGGACGCGGATCTCCGAATCAGAGAACCGAGTTCGAATTCCAGTCGAGTTTATTGGACCAATCCGAGCCGCTATCCATTACTTCATTGTGTCTCTCTTTATTACTCACAGAGATTAAACCTTCTCCATTGTTAGACTGCAGTGATATTGATACCCACCACCCCCACAATTTCTCTTTCTATTTTACTATCATGTTCACTCTTTACAAGGCCAGGGGGTTTGTCCACTAGAGGTAGAGGGTTAAGTTTGGAGTCCAATTGTGTGTATAGGAGTGGAAAGAATTGGTTAACCCTTGCCTTTACCGGGTTAAGATTGTAGTGATCAGAAAAGCATTCCGTTGGGACTTTGAATAGATGTTCAAACACAATAAGAAATTACAAGCCTAATAAAAATGAGAAATTACTTGATTCGCTGTGTCATTGTTTGAATTGTTAATCCCATTTGCACTTATTGGTGAATATTAAAGGAACAGAAAAATAAATGCTGGGGAGGAAATGTATTCTTAAAGGTGTGGTTGTCAATGAATATCTGATTTGTCCTACGATTCGAGTTCCTTATAGATAAAAAAAGAAAGAAATGGACACATTTTCTACTTGAGTAAACATATTAAATAACACATTTAGTTGAAAGAACGCACACCACACAAACTTATAATGAATATATAATTATTCTTCTATGCGTTATGTCTCTTCAGACCATTGGCGATCATGACTCTTCATAATTTTCTGTCTTAATAAATTTTTGTCTTTTGATACCTATCCTAAACCTTGTTCTGTCATCCATTTATTCAGGCACGATAGGTAGGTTATGCGTTGTTTTCCTCTGTCACTTCAACCTGTCCTGTGGGTACCAAATTTTCCAAGTCCTCTTTCCTCATTATATACCATTATAAGTGTCTTTTTTGTTTCCATTTTCTCTAAAACTTCGTCCTCACATGTTCAATCCATGGTATTCTCAGTATCCTTCTGTAGAACCACAGTTCTGTTGCTCCAAGGTTCTTCTTCATCTGTGAAGGGATTGTCCAACATTTACTGCCAAATAGGATGACTGATATTACGTAACAGATCAATGATCTCTTCGTTTCTAAAGAATGCTTTTCTGTTTCTTAATACACTACTTAGTTTTTGGAAAGCGTCTTTCGCTACTCCAGTGTGGCTTCAGTGTCACACTTTCCTTTCTCTGTTAAAACATTTCCATATATTTAAATAGTTATTATTGTTTGATTATACCCCTTTCTATTTTTGTATCTTTACTGAACTCATTTGCAGCCAATATTGGTTCTGGATTATTCTAATATCTTTCCCAAATTTGACAGGGCTACCAAGCTGTTCCAGCAGTTCTTTGTGACGTATTTATCAAACGAATATATAGTAACTTATAAAAAATAATAACTTACTTTTGCAGCTCATAACTCGAAATATAGTACTGTAATTAAAATGATATTGGACTAGTACTCTGTTGCTCGTCTGATGTCAATCTCTTTCAACATTTCCTACACACGCAACCACAACCGAAAATGATATACATTTGTAATATACTAACAGTTATTGGCTATTCATGACAAACAGTGCAATAATCTTTCCACACGAATTAGGTATTTATTTATCGACGATCAAGCATGCTAATTCCTCAATTATTCCATTGAAAGAAAGATCTTGTTTATAAAATTAACAGAATCTGGTAGTATTGTAGTAATTATCGAGTGTATATTTAGGTATTTTCTCTTTGAAACGTGTACAGTATTCCCTTACTCACAGTCTCAGTTATCCACATTCAAGGTCAGAAATAAACATTTTCTAAGTTTTATTTAATAATGGTTCCAAGGTTCAAAAGTAGTAATATATACATATATTGGTTTCGAGAGTAGTACCTTGTCACGCCGATTAACGTATCATTTATCGGATAATAACTCAAATCATATCACCAATCATCACAGGGGAAATACTCCAGAAATAAAAGTTTAAAAATCCTTATCAATAACTCAAAAGTGCTATATCATTTTTTTAAAACCGTTTCGCCCCAAGCAAGTCGATAATGCTACAAGAACCCAAGAGATTACAAGGAGGGAAAGAGAATGAGAAGACTTAAATGAGGAGAAGTGAGAAAAGGACATGTATATGACTAAATTAAATTTTGTTTTGTTTGTTATGTATATATATATATATATATATATATATATAATCGTTTCGCCCCAACCAAGATGATAATGCCACTAGGACGCAGGGAATTACAAGGAATGAAAGACAATGAGAAGACTTTAGTGAGGAGAAAGTAGGAAAATGCAATAAAAGAACAGGGTTCAGAATAGTAACCTCCACGAAAACGTGATACCCAACTTTAAAATGAATTTAAAAAAATGAAAAAATCGTTCTTGAAGCTTTCATTTTTGATTCAAAGCTCAAAGAATTAAATTTCTTATCTCAGTAAGCAAAATAATTTGGTGCATTTTAAACAGAAATTATATTCATTGGAATAGAGTTGCATTTTATTTTTCAGAAAAAGCGAATGTTGACCTCACATTCTTGTGCGTGGTGTCTGAGAGAGATGCCCCCCCCCCTCACCTCTGGGGTAGGTGTTTATATGTCTTTCTCCCTTATGTGGCTCTTTCTCAAGCGTTACATCCCAGGTGCGACTGGGCCGATCACGTAGCTCAACACTCGGTGTCTAGGAAGTCAGCCACCAGGTCGACACTGCATCTGGCTTCTTTGAGGGACAATGAGTGCAAAGTCTATTTTAACATGATTTGGGGTGAGACATATCTCTTTAGGCTGGAAAGTTGAAAGTTCTAGATTTAGTTAGGCATTTTTTCGTTTTGAATCCTCGTAATAAATTCCATTTTCCGTCACCGATGACTATCTTGTCCAAAAATGAGGCCTTTCCATCTTGCGCAAGAGAAATATAAGTTTATAAAGACTGAGGGAAAAATCTTTCCTGTAAATTAATGCGGAAATAATTTCCTAAAATTTGCAAAAGGCGGACTGGTATAGGCATGCCGGTGTTTTTTTTTTTTTTTTTTTTCCTCACTTTATAAAATAAGTGTAACGTTTCAAATGAACATGAGCGTGCATGTTTTCTGACACGGAATGATCCCTTGTATAAAATAATCATGCCGGGAGAAAATTATTTTGAAAAGTGCGTCCTACGAAATTAACATCGTGCTGAAGTGCGGGGTGGGGGTTAATTTAAGCAAATAGTTTAATCGTGCCTTCATTTTGAAGTTTGTACGCAAGTGTACATAGGTATGCTTCAAAAATTTATCTCTCTAAAATGTGATACCATGAATGTTTCCCCTAACGAATACGTTACGATATGTTGTGATGCTTGTAAAAACATACCTTCGAACAGGGCAGAGGGCATCTAGGACGATCATTTTTTTATTAAGTGCAACGATCACTACATTCATTCGTTTTTAAATTCTGAGGTGCTATAAATGCAAAAATATTTTTCGTTCACCACTCGTTTCCACGTTTTCTTTTTTCTCTCCTTTTTCTTGCTTTTTTCTTTTCTTTATTTCTTTGATACTTGGTCTCTTTCTTTCCCTTTTTCTTTTTTCTTAGTTTCATTCCGTCATTCTTTCTTAGTGCCTTTGTTTCTTTTCCTTTTTGTTTATTTGCTTTCATTTTTCTTTTCTTTTCTTTTCTTTTCTTTTCTTTTCTTTTATTTTCTTTCTTTCTTTCTTTCTTTCTTTCTTTCTTTCTTTCTTTCTTAGTTTCATTCATTCATTCTCCCTTAACTTCTTTGCTTGTTTATTTTCATTTTCATTCTTTCTTTCTTCCTTTTTTGTTTGTTTGTTTCCTTCTTTCTTATTTTCCTTCTTTTTACTTTCTTGTTTTCTTTCCGTTTTAGTTTATTTCTTTTCATTTTCTTTTCATTTTCTTTTTCCTTAGTTTCTTTCTTTTCTTTTTCTTTTTTCTTTCGTTCTTTCTTTCTCAGTTTCATTCTTTCATTCTCGCTTAGCTTCTTTATTTCTATTTTCGTTCTTTCTCGCTTTTTGGTTTATTTGTTTGTTTCTTTCTTAATTTCATTTACTTTTTTGCTTGTTTCTTTTTTTGCTCTTACTTTCTTTCTTTCTTTTTCTTTCTTTCTAAATCATTCATAAAATTTTAAACTTGAGTTACAATTAAATTCCACCCTCAACTAATCACTGAGGTTAAGCAAAGGGGAAACAGGCCAGTAGTTAGATTGGTAACTATTCAGCAGTACTATGAACATCTTTTGCCAAGCTAATCAATAGCTATAAAAATATAAAGAATTGCATATTAAAATTGCACACTCTTGGCTTTTACGATATTCTGAGTAGACTGACTTTTCAAGAGAAGGAACAGGAATATTAAATTTGTCACTTAACGACTTCTTATCGACTAATTATGAAAGCATTGGTAGCATCAGATGAGCTTAATTTAAATGAATTTAAGTAGTAAATATTAAGGATTTATAGATGTTGTCAATATGCGAATCAATTCATTATAATTAAACCCATAGTGGTAACAGAATTGAACCATGGTCTCGAAATCAACACAGAGATTCTCCAGTTTGTAATATAGAGAACAAAAACTAGCGATCAAAAAACTAGCGATTAGAAAAAAAAAAAAGTTGGTGAACCAACGTGTCCACCGGATGGAACACAACATACAACCTTGAAGACAGTTAAAATATATGTACATCTGTATATCCTTTTCATTGTGAAAAAGCTTTGTTTAGGATAAGAGTTCTTATCCGGACCCAAATATCTGGCAAGCCTTTCCACTTTGACTGCATTCCATTAACAGATGCTGTATGATTACGAAGTCTCAATCATTACACTATAAATTAACTGTTGCGCATCAATATCTATAATGCTATAAAGACCTTCTTCTTCTTCTTCTTCTTTAGGACATGGATGATCATGAATCTCCATGAATTCTTATCCTTTGTAGCACTATGCAATGGAAGATCCAACAACAATCCGTCCCTGTCTATGTTCGTCATTATGCATCCCATTTCAACGGGTTCTTTCTTATCCTTTTCGTACATGTTTTCCTTTAAAAATGCCTTCGTTGTTCACATTCGATATTCAAAATACTAGCTATAACAGCATTTTCTCCCTACATACATACATATATATATATATATATATATATATATATATATATATATATATATAGCGTCAATTAGTAAAGTCAAAATTACTACTTTTAAACAACAAATTTACCATGATTTTTTCTCGAACGCTCATATCTGCTCGAAGCGTATCAGATATGAGCCTTCGAGCAAAATCATGGTAAATTTGTTGTTTAAAAACAGTAATTTGGACTTTGCTAACCAGACGCTTCCTGTGTAGCTAAATGGCCTGTCAGGCTATATAACGGTTTCGTGTAGGATACAGGTCCGATTCATGTCGGAGGGAGCATATTTTCTATAAAATTTCTCGGACATTGAATCCGGTAAATGTAGTTAATACAGTTTATCATAAACAGAGAATTTACTTAAATATTTGAATCTATAAAACTAACGTATAAACAGAAAATACATTAGATTAATGTCGGTCTTTTTTGTCCATTTCATAATATACAATGTCATTTGTTTACGTTAAGATACGCTTCGAGCAAATATGAACGTTCGAGAAAAATCACGAGAAAATTGTTGTTTAAAAAAGTAATTTGGACTTTGCTAACCAGACGCTTCCTCTGTAGCAAAATGTAGCAAGCCAGACCAGACTATATGATGGTTCCATATATATATATATATATATATATATATGATCTATTATGATTTTTTATAATAATCCAATTTGAACAAAATTACGAGATTATTAGCTTTATCAGGTCGTCTGATGACGATACTAGAATAGATTTTTACCAGTCCCTACCCCAACTTGAAGCTGATAAATTAATAAAACTCTCCCCAGACTAAAGATATTTTTTCAGGGCAGAGGGCTTAAAAGACCACACACCTCACAATAAATATACCAATATTCTAACAATAAAACTAAAAGCTGTTGCAAAAGAATAAAATAAAACGACTCTAATATGGTCATCACACGTATTGATGAATCTAATATATTACGTAATTTTGAACAAATTGGATTATTATAAAAAATGACAACACATCGTTGTTTTTTATCTAAATTTACTATATATATATATTATTGAAATATAAATTATTGAATTAATATATATATATATATATATATATATATATATATATATATATATATATATATATATATATATATATAAAGAACAGTAAGATGTATAATCCGGTGTTCTTGTTATTTTTATTTTTATTTTTACAAAACAGTGCTCATTGTAAATTTACAGAGAATAAATATCATAAATTAACTGATTTAAAATATGGTTTTTCGCTACACAGTAATAACCATGTTTCAAAAAAGGAAGCTAAAAACTTAAAATTTAATTATATAATTAAATTAAAAGCATTAGTTCCTTTTCCTCTTCAAGCGAATATTGGAATAACTTATTTTTAAATTTACTGAGTTTTAAACACACATAAATTCATAATTTACTGTTTCCAAGGATACGGAGGAATCCAATCATTCAGACAGAGGTTGTAGCGTGTTCATTTTTATTAACTATTGTATCAATTATGAGTTACGTTCGAAAAAGAGGTTAAGTTTAGGGAGGGTAGGGGGTTTATTTTTCAACGAATTCTGACATTCGTTAAATGTATGTCGTCTGTTTTTTGTTTTTTTATTAACGGCAAAAAGGTTTTCGGCATTTTTTTCCTGTATACTCAAAGATTTTTTGTGTATTTGTGTTAAGATACGTTTTATTAAACTACAATTTCAAAATATTTTTACTCTTAATTACTAATAGACTATATTTCTTTTTAAAAACAAGTAAATATAATAGAATTACTTACATTATTTAAAATTATTATCAAATATAAGTATGTATATTACCGTCTCCCATTTTTTAATTTTATTTTTAAATTTATTTTTAAATATATTTTTAAATATTATTTAAGGAAAATTTTTGACAATGGCGTCAAAAAATAGCTATTTCATTTCTCTGATTCAGTAAATTTTTATTTTTTATAAACTTAGTAATATATAGTTTCTCGTGTATGCACAAAGGACATGGGTCATCAAATGACCTACATATTCTACCTTTTCTGATTAATTTTCATTTTACTGTAGGTGTTTTATTGGATTCTTTTAATTGCCAGAAATACTTTGAGACCGATTAGATTGTTATGTTTTCAGGGTTCTCAATAGATGAGATATTGTATTGGTATTGTAATGATTCCGTACGACAATTTATTTTGTAGAGGCTAATCCAATTACAAGGATAATAAACTCTACAAGAACTGATATCGGAAAAATTAGTAAAATGATCCTTGAAAGGGTAAATCAACAAATTAAAGAAAAAAATAGGCCTGAAACTTTGGATTAATACCAAAGATGTGACGAACTGGTTTGCTTATATAAAGGAGAAAACGAACTGTACACTAATGCAGTTTGTTATTGAAAATTATTATCAATTTATATCTAAAAAACTGTTCATGAATGCGTTGGACTTTGCTACCCAGTACACGGATATTACTGAAGAAGAAAAGAGCATTATTATAAATGCAAAAAAATCGGTACTGATGCATAAAGGTGAGCAATGGATAAAAAATTCATATGACCACTTTGACTTCACATTGGGATCACTAGACTCAGCTGAGTCTTCTAATCTCATAGGTCTTTTTATATTATACAATCTTACAGCGCACCGTGAAATTAATATAACTGACATTGGTTTATACAGAGACGACAGACTTATGGTTGTAAGGAACTCTACGAACTTTAAAATCAATAAAATTAGAAAGATATTATATAAAGTATTTAAAAGCCTGAACTTAAAAATTACGGTAAGCACTGAATTAAAAAAAAGTTAACTTCCTTGATATAACATTAGATTTAATGAAAAATATATGCATACCTTATAAAAAACCCAATGCCAACCGTTTATATATACACCCTAAATCAAATAATCCTCCATTTATAATTAAGCATATATCTTTATCTATCGGAAAAAGAATAAGTGCAAAATTCAACAATTTATAAGATTTTCTGTGAACATATTAATTTCTATCAATTGCAAGTAAAGGTTTACACATCAAGTACTAATGAATTATGAACGTTATTTTCATTTGGATATGATGTATCCATTATAATATTATGATTTTGTTAATCGTTCTGATGTTTTTGATCATCTATTTTTTCCGAATGTTGTATACTTATTCTTATAACTTTATCAAAATAAGTTTATTGAGCTTTATATTTTGGAATTATATAATTTACATTTATATCCTTATTTTTCCCTGATAAAAATGTTCTTGGAAGCTTTAAAATAAAATGTTATTTCACATTTAGACTTGTTCTTAACATCGTCCTGATCTTTATGCTCACTACTGTGTATATATATATATATATATATATATATATATATATATATATATATATATATATATATATGCATGTATGCATATATTGGTTTCAAAATTAATACATTGTCACGTCGATTAACGTATCCGTTATATGATAGTAGCTCAAATCACATATCACAAACCGACACAAAGGAAAAACGCAAGAAATAAAAAATATCTTTACAAATAATACAAAGACAGTATCAAGTAGACTGTAAAAACCGACTACAATTAATCCACCCACTAAGCATAAGAAGCAAATAACCCAGCATGAATATAATTACATCAGATTTGAGACCCTAACATGCTGAATACATTTTAATAAAATAAATAAATAAAAGACACTAATTCTCACCTGTGTAGGCGATATTTAAAATGAACACTCGAAGGCGATATTTGAAAATTGAAACAAAATCCATTGAAATGGGCCTCATGTATAATATATTTTCGTATTATCTGTTAAAATATATCTGAAGTTAGTAGTTGTATTTTGAATGTTTGTGATTCCATGATCAATATG